CTATGGAGCAGTCGGTGATAATAAGCAGCTCAATGTGCATAAAATTGCAGGTTTACTTCATTCGTCAACCTACTTCACAAATATCGCGATAATGGGAGACTCTCTTAAAGCGTTTTCGCACTTCGTCTGAAGAGAAATGACGGTCCGAAATGTCATAGAGATAATTTTATCTCTAGGTGTACAAGCGACATTCGTACTTATTCGGATTTCAATCGGGCTTAGTGCACAAGCGACATGCGAAGTGGATCCGAGTTTTCTAGATTTGTATCGTCTCGGATTTGGAACAAATACGAATCGGATGCAATGCAAACGCGCTTATACAGAGATTACTTTAGAATTATTATACGCCAATGTTATGGGGTATATTGATTTGGAAAGCAAATGAGTAGAGTGAAGTCAAATATCCGTTCAGAACAAGAAGCCAGTCGAAATCGAAAGTTCCGATCTAAGATGCCATGTGGATGAGTCTCAGATTCTTCATATTGCGACATCGGGGTCGGCTTACACGCTTCGGATTTTGTCTTGTCGGTGGATGAGCCTGGTGAAGTACTTAAGTCTAGTGGGAATGCATATGTTATTGTTATATTTAGTAGCGAAAGAGTTCGTATAGAGAACTACTGCCATCGTGTTTATTTCGATATATTCATATTTCTGCATTTCGGTTTTGAAGGGTTAAGGGTGCTGGTGAAATTACAGGCAAATGAAATGAAATCATTTATTGCTTTAAATGTGGTACGTAGGTAGAGTACTCGATGGTAACATTTGCAGAATAATGTGTCAACATATTTAGCCATTTTTGACTGCAATATTATAAAATAAGAGTCAATGCAACATGCCGTACGATAACTAATATAAACATGTTAAATTATAAAGCTGTGTCTCGTAATTATGTGTGTGTTAATTACACTTCACCTTAATACATATGTATAATTATTTCAAATAATTATTTTTTACGTAATACTATGTCACTTGAAACCTTCAGTGTCAGCTTTTCAACTTATGTCTCAGGGTGACAGGCACAGTGGCAGTGTCCTTTAGATCTTTGCGATTTAAAGCTCTGAGTGGCACTGCGACTGCTTTGGGCAGGCGCGGCGCTTGACGCTAGTTCGACTTCTTTATCCTGTCACTTGGTATCATAAAAAATTTAATAGATGTATGTATATTTTAGAATAGAGAAAAAAAGAAATTTTTCATGTTTATTAAAGATAGAAAATATTATGTAGCGGTACGCATCATTTCTTGTTTAGCCAAGTTAAACGTATACTAGTGCCTCTAACACCGCTCAACCAGTAGCGACTAGGGTTTCACTCTTTTATAATAAATATACCTCAAAATCACAAAGTGTTTTTATTTCCAAGAGCTGGGAAGTAAAAAAATGATATACCTAACGACGACCGAGACGTTGATGCCAGTGGCGAACACACTTTCGTTTTTTAACTAACTTTGGCTTACATGCACTTAACAATGTTATGTTTTCCCTTTGAACTTCTATAAAATAGAAACAGTAAAACTTTTTTGAAAATAATTCTCGGGTAACTCTCTAGGCAGCGAAACAATACGCCCGAAAGTTTTTTTTTTTTGTAAAATTTAAAACGTAAGAACTTAAGGCATTTAAATTATATCTTTATTTCCCCTGTAGAGAACTTCTTTGAATAGAAAAATTGTTGAAAAGTCCAACAATAGATAAAAAAATACTAATCCGATTTTACTCCCATCAAATCGTAGCTTGTAAACCGACCTTCTAGCGGTCAACTGTTATAAGCTTTCAATCTGATCGATTAACCATCTCTTTCCAACATTTAACAGGTAGATACATTTTTCGTCTCTTTTGCTCCTTTGCTGATTTACAATACATTTAATTGTTTTAATTGTGAATATCGACTTTCTTTGTCTATATATAGTAGTTCGACATGGAATAATTGGACCTGCGATTTGTAACAATGCCATATATACTTGTACAACGTTATTCAATATCATAGTAACGTAACAGCTACTCATGAGGAGTTTCTGTATTTATAGAGCCAGGAATGGTACATGTTTCGACAACTCTAAATGATATATATTTGATGATGTCTTTATTTGTTTCCTTGAAATAATTTTTCTCTTGGGTATATAAGAAAGACATCATTAACAAATATTATATCTGTAGACTTACTTAAACTTTTGGCTTTCCATTACGACATTAAAATAATTTGTACACATAGAAAACATCTGAGGGACACCCTATGCCTCTGCGTCAGTCGCCCTGAGACATAAATTGACGAGTCTCATGTGCCTGTAATTTCACCAGCACCCTTACCCATTAAAAACGGAACGCAGTTATGTTCACTTTACTGCTCGGTGGCAGAAATAGGTAAGGTGGCAGTACTTCCCTGGACGAACTCTTTCACAATAGAAGAGGAATAAAAATGAACAAACTATTCTTGACAGTCGTCTTCATTAAGTCTCAAATTCATATAAGGGGTAATGTGTACGTTTCTATAATAAGATTCCGATTCATATTCATTTCCGAGGTCTAAAACCATTGAGAACCTAAAACTGTATGCTTACTAAACTTCTGTGTACTTGGATGACAAAAATCCGTGGTAAAAAACCCGTTTAGCTCTTTCAGGTGTTCTCGATCTAAGATATTTAAATTAAATATAATAATGATAAATGTACTCAAATCTATATTTACAAAGAGCAATCCCTAGAGTTTCATGGTCATTTTTCTCAGGGGAGTCTGCCTTACGCATGAACAGTAGAGTTTAATCAGTAAGACGATTTCACGTGTAATTTGCTTACCAATGAAATAAAGATTATTTGACTTTGACAAGGAGCTATAAAATAATTTCATTCTTTCATTTCAAGTGCAAAGTACTATCGAGTCGTTATTACTTTTCACGCCATATATAAATTTGTTACACGAAAATAACATGAAATTTAGTTACATCATTGATCATTGTTCATAACACGAAACTCGAAAATATATTATATTACTCACACTTACGTGCGAAGATGCAATTTTTAAGTAATCTAAGTAGCTCGTTTTCGTTTTCTTGTAATAGTTTCGTAATTTAGTATTGTCTAGTATTAGTTTGTTATTCAGTGTAAGTTCATTGTCTTGTATTAGTTTCTTGTCTAAATATAGTTCGTAATTGTGGAACATTTATATGGTGAACGGCTATGGAATCGCATTCTCTGCCTGCAGCCTGCAGACTTATTCCCTGGACGATATGCCTTGGGCCTTTTCAAGGCGAGAGTGAATAAGTATTATTTAAGTGTGCATGCTCGATCGTCGACTTCATCGTCATTTTCCATCAGGTAAGATGGAGGTCAAATACGCGTTTATTTTTTAATGACAAAAAAAAAGTTGATCGGTACTCAACAGCGGGACGTACAAATGCGATTTAGAAATAATAAATTCATCATCATTCAGAAGAAATATTTTCATTTCCTATGTGTAAAAATCGTGAAATCTAAGAACTCAATAATTATATTTATTTATTTACTAAATCTTTTTAACTATGAAAATAGAAATCACTATTAATATAAATTATTATTTGGAAGGCTTTGCATAATTCTTTATATTATATTGTTATAAGAAAATGTGATAATTCTACTTATCACATTTTTAACATGGAATAATATATATCATATATAATACATATAATGATTAACTATAATTTACGGTTATGTAAATAGCATATAAATAAATAGCACAAAAAGTAAAATAAATATATGACATTTAATTTAACCCGTTGGTTGCGATACTACACGGCAATCGAGTAAGTTTAAGAAATAAACCGTAAGTTACAAAGTAACTAACCATAAATCGACTTCAATATCGGGAAAAAAATAAAAATATTTTTGCCGTTAAATTTTTGCCGTGTGGTGTCTGGCTTAGAATAGAACCAATCCTTCTCTTCCCGTGGTTGTCGTACAAGGCGACAAAGGGATGAACAACAAACAATGAGGATGGGCAGCAGCGTCCTCGAGTACACCTGCACTCAAACTGCGACCACCAACCCGCCTGGATGCAAGCGGCGCAGGACAGATCGTTGTGACATTCTTTGGGAGAGGCCTATGTTCAGCAGTGGATGTCTTTTAGTTGAAATGATGATGATGATGATGATGATGAAAAATATTTACTTTTTTAACGTAATCGGTTAATGGATAAACGTGAAAAAAAATACAGAAACAAGCAGTCGCCCTGGTGTGGCACACAGGTCGGAAGGAATTTTGTTTATGTTCGGTCTTTGGTATTAATAATTTTAACAAAGTAGTGCAGTAGTTTCACAAAAAAAAATAATATCATGGTACTAAAAGATTATAATATTCCTTACAAGTAATATTAAAAAAACTTCTAAAAAAACAAACCTTATATGTCTTACATTATACGTAAATTGTTATGATTTATAAGCAAAAACACCGTGCCCCGAGTAAAGTATAGAAAGTCACAATTTCATTATGTTATTATCCGCAAATAATAACGTTTATTATTTTCTCTGTACAAAATAGGTCAGTTATTTTTAAAATTGAAAAGAGTATATTTCAACCACGTTATAGCAATTTGTAACAAATAGTTGTACAACAAGGTGACGCAATTTAAGTCTCATGTAAAACTTGGTAAAGCTTCAAAAAAATAACAATATTTTTTTATATACGTCTTATAGCATTTAAATTATGAAAAGGAAGTAAAAATACATCTCACATTTTACGAAAGAAAAGAAAATTTATTAATGAAATTCATACAAATATTGTTTAAACAAAAACTTCGCCACACCCACACGCCAACCTCACTATACAATAAAAAAAACGAGCATGCCACTTTTTAAACTAGCGAATCTATTTACATATACATTAGGTTCTAAACTGAATCAAATTTCATCCTAACCCAGATGAGAGTTGCGTATGAGTGTATAGATATAAACACGGTGGGGGGAAGTGATAAAACTGTATAGCAGCCGGGGTATCTCGCCAAACATTGCTTGACATCTGTTGATGTCAGAAATTTTAACCGGCTAGGATTAAAAAATAAAAAAACAATAAAATGAAGCTTGCTATCGTGTTCGCGTTTGCCCTTGTGGCCTTTGCTTCTGCCGATGACAGTGATAACACCATGGAAATAGCCCTCAGCTTCGTCAAGGACTGCAAAGGAGATTACATTCTATGTGTTAAGGTTAATATTTAATTTTTAATTTCAAGTGAAAGTGCAAGTGAAAATTGTGTTTGTGATAGTGGATAACAATTTCTTTTAGTACTTTTATTTGTTATTTCAAGTATTTACTCACAACGATTTCATCTTTCTAGAAGATATAAGCCTTTGCAATCCGCATTCACATTAAACCCATTAAACTAATAGTTATTATTGTTTGTCAACAGGAAAAGTTGCTGAAGATCGTAGACAACCTAAGGGCATCACGTAGCATCACCATCGTTGATGGTGTCATGCTGAAGGGTGAACCCGAAGTTCGGTCACCAAAGAAATTGGACACTCTACCTGTGGATCCAACAGCTAGAGATGCTGAAGTCAATTACAGACTTCTGGATGGAGCCGTTAGCCTGTTCGAGACTCATTCTGTTGAGGTCAAGATGAACAAAGATGACAAAGAGACTCTGCAGCGGTCTCTGGAAGAAGGTAAATATATATAGAATAACAATGGGGAACACTAATTACAAGCCATGGAATGTTATATAAATGGTAATCTACTAATGAACTTTATTAGTAAAAATAAAATAACTGTAATGAAGTTAAAAGCTATTGAAAATACATATAATATATTCTTTATTGCGCCAAATAAATACAACAGAAAGAAAAGAGAAAGATTACTTTAGTAGAAGGTAAGCAATGGTGGACTTACCTATAAAAGATATCTCTTCCAGTCAACCCAGAGCAGTGAGAGCTCATAAGGTTATAAGTGGACAGTAGCGTGCAAGAGAGAATGAGAAAGAAATATAATAAACTAAATAAATAATTAAATAAAAAACACATCTACTTTAATTGATCAGCTTTTCGTAATACAAAAATAAGACAAATAAAACTTAACATTCTAACTAGAACGACCATAGAAATTGGAATAATAAAGTTAGAAATTGGTTCGTTAAACTATGCAGTTAAAAATTATCCAAAACACACCATCTTCTCGTAATATTTAGAGAGAATATCGTCTCTCTATTATTAAATTAACTAAAGAAGTCACATTTAAAATTGTTTAAATATAAACTTTAGCGTTATAAGATTTACTGTCGTTTTCTCTCATTTTTAAACATATAAAAGTCGAGGAGCGGAAAAGTCACATATTAAATTTCTAGGTTAATAACGTAATTTTTTATCTCCAGGTCGTGGTAAGAACAAGAAAGGCAGTGGCTTGGGCGCTATTATTGGTCTCCTCGGCGCCAAGGTTCTCTTCGGAAAACTCTTAATTGTGAAGCTGATCGCGCTCAAGGCCTTGGCAACAGCCAAGGTCGCCCTAGTCCTGGCCATCATTCTCTTCGTTGCTTGGTGTCTCAAACACGAACATACCAAGACCACTTACGAGGTCATCCCACACGCCCATCACGTCGAATCTCACCACCCAGTTCACGTTGAACACAGCCATGACCACGGACATGGGTACTCCAGCTACGGTTCAGACTGGAACAAGAACTTGGACGAAGGCCAAAATCTGGCATACAGTGGCTACGCCCACAGCAAATAGGTAGACCAAAATTTTAGGACCATATTTGGGTAACAGCCCTACTCTAACCTCTGTTGTACAAAGACTTAATTTATATTATTTATTGACTTAATTTATTTCTTAATTTATTGAATGTTTACATGAAATAAACTGTTGAGTTGAATTTGTATTTCATTCTATATTCTCTGTCTGTATTTTTGAATAATACATTTTTATGTGTGTAAAATTTAAACACGATAAATTTCCTACTCCAAAATTATCAGGGAGAGAAAACATGAATAGCTACGAAATTCATATTTTGTTCTAGAAAAGAACTGGTATCGTACCGAAAAACACCTTCTAATTTCTAAGACACGTGCTTTAGATTAGAAGTAAAAAGTGAGAACAAAAAAATGAAAGTTTTAAACGGTTTCATACGTCATCTGATAACATCATCGATCAAATTGATACTTGTCTAAAAGAAAACGAAATCAGTAAAAAACTGCCATCGTAACAATAGATAACAACGATAGATTATTCTAAAAGAGCAGACAAACAGCTTTATGATATTTGTTTTTCTTTTTTTTATTTTGGTACTATTCCATTGAGTTCCGGCTGTTCATTATATATTACTTCACTAATTTACATATTACTGATTTCGACTCTCTAATATGTTTAATTTGTGCTCGTTCTACATTTTTGTATAAGCGATATTAGGCGAGAACTCACTGGCTGCATACTGGGCCAACGGCTAACGAAGAGACTTGTTTATGTAAAGACTTAAAACAGGTTTTAAAAGTAGATATTAAAGGCCCGACTTTCTATAGATGGAGTTTCACGTGATTCTGTGCAATTTCATCTTCATTCAAGCGTAATCTATATATAAACACGTGTATGTACTGACCATTATCGTTAAGTAAGTGCGATTATACATTTTAATTACGTACATTTTAGGTCGTCAGTCAATTAACGGGAGTTCAACAAATTTATTCAAACAATAGAAACCTTTTTATTGCTTGTACTTGTCAATTAATTTTAATACTTATAATACACCTCTTTCATGTAATTCAATTTTAAAAATCCTCTGGATTATCTTTATTGGAATCGTAATCGACCAACTTTTATATTTTTCACGTTAACATTAAAGTTGGGAAATTAGCTTTCTATCCGTTTAATATAAATTATCAAAACTATATCACTTTTGCTTTATGTCCATAACAAAGTAAGAAAGCATGAACGACTTATATAATTCTTTTAGTCTTAAGTTGAACTCGGTGTTGTGTTCGGAACTTTGGCCAGTCGGTCACTTTTAAGGCGAGAGAGTGGTGAAACTTCCACTTAAACTTTTGAAGGTTCAAAACAGACATAGTATGTGACATAAACGACTTCCACAAGACTATCTATAGATAGACAGGTGGTTAAACATTTTATTGCTTACACACACGAACAAGAACGAGGCATACTCAACTCAGACAAACGATCTCTTCCAGAAATTATTTCATTCAAATGAAATTAAGGAGAGAGGGACATGTATATGTATGGTGTAGCTATTGTTAGGTTGCAATCATGACAAGCTCGTATTTTGCATACTATATTGTATATTGTATCACACTCGAACAAATATAGTTATTGAAATGTATGTAACTTTTACAAACCGTAACTTACAATTTGTATACCTTTTCACAATAAATTCAAATATTATAGTTAAAGTTGTTATTGTTGACAAATTCGAATTACAGATTATTGTTGGTCATTGCCAATACCGCCAAAACAGCTATTCCTCGATGATGTTTGGAGGTTTTGGCGGGAAGAAATTTATATAAATAAGCGCAGAATCTTTTGTATCAGGCCTTTTCCTCCAGTATTCTGGCTCGAGAAACAAACCATCACAAGCGAATTACGTTTTGTTTAATACTATTTATTTATTCATAGAACCAATAGTTTTAAAACTTGTAATAATAACAGGATTACTAAACATTTTTTTATGATATCAAGTTATGAGACACGCCTGGTGGTAAGCAACACGCCTACCCGCCACCCCGAGTCATAAGTAAACAAGCCCATATGCCGTAATTACAGGTTTACACCTATACAACCCATAGATATAGTTTTCCTATATCTATAATACAACCAAACAAGTCAAAAACGAGAACTAAATAAAAACAAACAATAAACAGTATTCGTTGACAATAAGCACTGTTTTATAAGCCTGTTCCGTCGTAAATAAGCACTGACATAAAAAAAATAAAAAACATTTATATGACTTAATTATAGTACATACGAAGTATACATGTGCGTATTATATTTTATTTAGACGAGGTTTTGATGAATAAGCATCACGAAAAAAGAAAAAAAATAATCATTTTATAAATAGCATTTTTCATGCCGTCAACACTTTAATAAAATAATTTTGAAACAAAAAATATTGATTTTATTGTGAATTTGTAAATGCCTACAGACATAATGTCTCTTTACTAACTACCATATTTGTCATTTCTACCGTAACTAAGTAAGACGTATGATTTTACTCAACTTTCAAAAGCGATCATTATCCACTAATCATGCTGCGTTTTCCTTTTTATTTATGAATAAAATTCATTTAATAGAACGAGTTTGGCACGAGCCGTTTCGCAAGATATGACGTGCTAAATCAAATAATATTAAATACGTCAGATCAAAAATTTTTTGTTTTATTTTTCTAGCACTACACACAAGGAAATTTTGAGTATTTTATTAGGCGCCATTTTATACACTCATTTTGTAAGCAAAGCAATTTAATACATAGTTGAAAACAAAATTCTCAAACATATTTACTAAAAAGACGTGGTGGCCTGACGGTTTGACCTACCGCCTTTCATACAGAGGCTGTGAGTTCGACTCCGGGCTCGCGCCTCGGAGTTTCTCCTAATTTAATTTGAAATTTACCTAGAGCTTTTCGGTGAAGGAAAATATAGTGATGAAACTTGCACATCGAAAAAAGTTCTAACCTTCAGGATAAGTGTGAAATCCGGGTTAGCGCCGCGAACTATGGCCCAAATCCTCGCCTGAGAGGAGACCCGTGCCCAACAGTGGGATGTATAAATGGGTTGATGATGATATTATCATGATAATCCTTGGTAGTGACCTGTTTAGCTCCTTCAGGTACAATATTCGAAATAAATATTGTAAATTATAGTCAAGTGTTTTCTGCCCATTCTTTTCTCAGGAGAATTAGTAGTTGTGAATCGTGTTTTTTGAGTCTCTTAGTTTACGTTCGACTGAAATTCGTTTATGGTGCCGCGCGAACGTATTTTCATCAGTTGCTTTTAAGCGTTTGTACCGGGTATTTATGTCATATAGTGTAACGCCATTAAAAATAATATTATTTTATGAAGCATTAAATCATGTTAGAATAAGAAAAATAAGGTGAGTACATCCACTCAATACGGAAAGATTAAAGTGTGGGCAGTTTCATATACTATATGAACGTTTAAGTGAACATTCAGATCAATTTGTAAAATACTATCACGTGCCAATAGATATTTCCCTCACCCCTCGGTCAACCCGCACAAGAACATCACGCAGTGCGACCGTAATTGCGCGCGTGGTTCAGCAGATAACTCATTTTGCATCCTCGTGTGGCACAAACCAGACTTTAACATGAAATCGAATGCATCGTAAATTAATGCACTCAAAAAACTGAAAACACAAAAAAATACGCACGTCTAGCCTCACCCTTGATCTTACGAACGTTTAGTAGTGCTATCTTATACGTGCTTAATCAATTCGTCGAATTGATAAAGTTGTTTTGATTTTTTTTATAATACTTAGTGACGACATGAACAAGTCGTGCGTCTGGTGATAAGCGACACGCCTGTGGGATTCAAACATTTTGTGTGGGGACAAATCCCAGGCACATTACTTATGTCTCAGGCTGACGGGCGCATTGGCAGTGCCCCTCAGATCTTTGCGTTTTAAAGCTCAGAGTATCACTGCAACTGCCATGGACAGGCATGTGTCGCTTACCATCAGGCGCACGACTTGTTCGTTCCGTGACTTGGTATCATAAAAGAATATATTATACACTTATGTAATGGATGTATCTTGATGAAAACAAATGATAATGACTCTCAAAAAAATGACTAGACAATTTCACACTTGTTGAACTTCAATCAAGATACGTGCAATTAAGCCAATAATATTAAGAATAATAGCTAACCTTCATGTTATTACGGTGTAACGTAAAGCTAATAAGGTATAAAGCTAATTTTGAGGATAAGGCTGCTGGTGAAATTACAAGTACATGGTACTTTTGAGGTAATGTATCTGAGTGACAAGCCCACTGGCAGTGTCCCTTTTTTATTATATCAAGTGACGGGATGAACAAGTTGTGCGCCTGAAGGTAAGCGACGTGCCTGTCCATAACAGTTGCAGTGCCACTCAAAGCTTTAACTTGCAAAGATCTGAGGGGCACTGACACTGCGCCCGCCAGCCTGAGTCATAAGTTGACAGGTCCCATGTGCCTGTAATTTCACACAATACGATTCAACTATTTACGGTACCTGCGAGAATGAGGTGGTCCTTTTTATAATTAGAAACCACACGACTCTAGTCAAGATGTCGTTAAACTTATATAGGTTACTTAATGCTCGTCACCTACAATGAAGGTATTAAATTCGATTTCTTAAGTCTTTTTTGGACTATGTTAGTTTTCAGTGGATAGTAATTTACTAACTAAACGCATCTGAACAACAAAATTCGAGTCGAGTAGTTTAGTAAGTGATTTAGTTGAGTCGACCTATTTTATTCTATAATTTCGGCCGAGTAACTCCCCCACTTGATTCATCCACTAAACAACGATTTAGTCGAGTTCATTAGCTGCCGTAAAAATATCCTTCCTTTGGAGCGAAGACACAACTATCAAATTTGTTGCGACTTATCAACATATATATTAAATTATTTTGTTTCGTTGTGTGATCGGTAGTGCAAACGCTTTTTGTTAATTGTTTGATATTTAACTACTAAATTACTCACCAGTTACACAAAATTACTTACATAGACTGAACCAGACAGAGATTTTTTTTTTATATTATTTTTATTTATGATGAACTTATTACCAGTGGAGGAAATATTGACATGAAACCCGCGAAAAAAATGTCATATAACTTTTGGAAGTCGTTAAGTATCCTAAGTATTCTC